AATCCGAGTGTAAATTGTGTGGGAAAATATTCAAAGCGAGTCCCAAAACGGGCACGGCATCCGTTAAATATCATCTTCATTTTGCTCATCGAATACTTAGAAACGACGGTGGAGGATTGCAATGATGTGGAATCGTTATCAATACAATGGTTTTTATCATCATTATTATCATTATTATTATTATTATTCGGAATACGAATCGAATAAGGTAGAGAATGAGAGAGAGGGAGAAGGGACAGGGAAGAGAGGGAGGTAAAAAAGAAAAGAGGGAGAAAGAGAGAGAGAGAGAGGGAGGGAAAGAGAGAAAAGAGGGAGAAACAGAGAGAGAGGAGGAAAAGAGAGAAAAGAGGGAGAAACAGAGAGAGAGGAGGGGCAGGTAAGAGAGGGATGGAGAGAGAAAGAGAGAAAGGAGGAGTAGGGAAGGTGGGAGAAAATGAGAGAGAGGAGGGGCAGGGAAGGGAAGGAAGAGGGGCAGAGAGAGAGAGAGAGAGATTCAAACATGCACTCTTTCATTCGCTTACTTACACACACGTGTGCACAAAAATTATTATTATGTTTTATTCACTATTTGTTTTCGATAAGTAGTCACAATCAAACACGTGTAATTTTTGTTGTTGTTGTTATTATCGTTTGTCGTTTGTCGTTGTCGTACACCACATAAGAACAACATTCTTATAGGGGGGGGGATGGAAATTATTTTTAATTGAATTATTTGTTTTCATTACAGATTTCACATTTCGATTCAATCCGAAACGTGTGCCGATATGGGATTTTTACACGGTCAATTACGATTCCGATTTGGCCACGTGTAAAATATGTTATAAAAATATAAAAACACGTAGAAAAGACGGTACGAGAAACGTTTTGAGTCACATGAGAAACGTTCACCCGAACGAATATCAATTGTCGTTAACGTTCAAAGAAAAATGGACGGCTATGAAGAAAACAAAAAAACATAAACAGGGTTTCTATTAATTATTTAAGTAGTAGTCTATGATAAATAATAATAATAATAATAATAATAAACGAACGACAATAAGTTATTTAATAATAATAGTGATAAGACTTTCTTATTAATATCGCGTTGTTATTTTACGTTTATGTAAATATTAATAAAATTAATTTATGTACGATTTTATTTATTTAT